TAAATTAAAGACATTTAATTACAAAATTAAATTTGGACCTTCCATTTTTGAAACATGGTTAGAACTGTGTAACGGAAAAACTATATTTTAAATCAATTAATTTATAATATTAATGCTCTGGAAATTTATATTGAGCAATATTTTGTAAAAATAAAAATATCTATCTTACTGTTCTTTCTTTTTATTTATTTATTTATATATATATATATATATATATATATATATATATATATATATATATATATATATATATATATATATATATATATATATATATTAAGGTGCTATATTTATGGAATAAAGTGCTCAATATCAGGGATAGAACGTATGCAAACATAAATATAAAAGTGAACATTGAAGTCAACATCAGAGGCGACAGGCTGTTTCATGCTAGGCGCAATCGTTGACTTCAATATTCACTTTTATTCGAATTCCACTTGAATCCATTACATTCACTTAAGATAACAATATGCAAACCTAGTAGCAGGGATAAATCAATGCAGTTGGGGTACCAGTGAAAATAGCTCGTCAGAGCAGTTGCCATGAAAATATTTGTCGAAATCACAAAGAAATAAAGCATTTCACCCAGTGCAAGACGGGAGTGCCACTAGCACGCAAGGGGTTATAGAAAATGAGAATAAGATTAAAGAAGTGTGTTTGAGGAAAAGATATAGAAAAGGACTGGGATCAGGATCAAGGCATCAGATGTCGATTGACATTACATGTGAATTTTTGAAGATTATTGCTATCAGGGAAGCAAATAAGAGGAAGGGAGTTCTACTGACGGGAAGTGCGAGAGAAGAAGCTGCTGGAGCAGAAGTGACGACTACATATAACCGTTTGAATAATAAAAGGGTGGGAACGAGATGCCAACCTAGTAACACGCTTTTGATGCCTTGATCCTGATCCCCCTCCTTCTCTGTATCCTTTCCTTAAGCACTTCTCTTTAGTCTTGCTCTCACTCTCTGTAACCCCTGGCTTGCTAGTGGCACTCCCGCCTGGTTTAGGGTGAAATTAAATATATATATATATATATATATATAATAAATAGGCTTAAACACTAATATTCCATGGTCATAATTTACTCCATTGCAATCGTAAATACGATCCAATTCATCAGACCTACAAATTCAAAAAGAAAACAGAAAAAACAACTTCGGAAATAAAAAAATAAAATTTAGAGAGAGTGTAAGTATGAGAGTGTGGGACGAATGTTAGAGCTAAAGAGAGGGGTAACAGACGAGAGAAGGTGGGGGATTAAAATTTAACACATAGATGTTTTAAAGAGGTGAGTCAAAAACGGTTTAAGTGAGAGAAATATGAATGTTGTCGGATGTCTAATACATTAAAGATGTAACCGGAAATGATACATTTTACACTCTCTCTAAATTCTATTTTTTGGAGTTGTCCACGATGATGCAATATTTTACTACGGTAGGTGTACTAGTATTGTTCAGAAGTAGGGTGCCGCCTTATACACGAGCTATATGAAAAAGTTAGGTTTATTACAAAAAAGAATCAGGAGTAACAGTATATATAGAATAATAATAGCTGACCACTTGTATTCAGGGATACCCTTCTACTAGGGCAGCGAGCCAATCTCTATTGCAGACGCCTGTTCTGTGGTTTATACTGCAACTATGCTGAGCAGACCTTAGTTACAGTTTCTGGGAAAGAGTGTGTTATCTAGCGTGATCAACAATTTGAACAATTCCAACACGCTTAATCCCTCGGGCACGATGACTCGTGACTTCGTGCTAGCACAGCTATCGACGGCCCCCAAGCGTTCAGTCTATCACAAGGCTTGGGACCGATAACATTAAGACAAATAGACCATGGTAACATTCGAACCTGGGTCTGACAAGCCATCCCCTATTTACATTATTCGGACTTTGTCGCCATATTTATTACAACGTTTCAGCCGTTGTAGGCTCCGGCCTTCTTTAGTTGATTGGAATGTTGAACTGAACCCTTTATTTCGCTCCCTATAGTGTTATAGTTCCACGTGTCACGTTTTAATGGATGTCAGTTGTCAGCTATCAGTTATCTCCTGTTAATTCCCCTCTCCAAGTTCTCAACTGCCTTAACCGGGTATTGAACTCACACTCTTTGGGTCCTGTCACTGGATCTAACTAACGCCTTTATCCACTCTGCCATGTGTCCTTGAGGAGATAACTGACAACTGAAATCCATTAAAACATGACACGTGGAACTAGAACAGTCTACCCCAGTGGTCAGAATTCGAAGATCTAAGCACACGGCCACGTGCCGCCATATATCCGTCTATTTCACTCACAAGGCTTGGGTCAACCCGTGGTACGGTTTTCAGGCACTTTCCACAGCTGCCGCACGCTGGGATCGTCCCCCTCCAGTCCGATAACATCAGACAAATTTACCATGTTGTGATTCGAACCTGGGTCTCGTAGGAAGAATGCAATTTTAATCACTCGTGCCTATATACATACATACATACATACATACATATATATATATATATATATATATATATATATATATATATATATATATATATATATATATATATATATATATATATATATATATATATAAAACATTGACAGCATATTTTAAAATATTTCTGCAGTATTAAATTTCAATCTACTTATAATGGAAACGTACGCATCTTTTTTTGTCTGAACGTTCAAACACATTTTCGCATGCGAAAGTCTTCAAGATGTTAAAATGTTTTTTGAAGGAATCATTATTGAAGGAATCATTTTTGAAGAAAAGAATTGGCGATAGTTACCAAATTCAAAATAAACGGCTGGCAAATGAAGCGAGAAGATTTTAATTAAATAATGTTTTCCCTTTATTTTATTCGGCATTCATGTCAAACCACCTGAAATAAGAGACTTCAGCTTTTCAAGAATCGATTCATTCAAACAATCATTTTAATTTAGGCACAAACATCCAGAATGATTCATGTTAACAAATGGCCATTTATAACATTACAGGAAGTTAAAAAAAAAAAAGAAAGATTCGTAAATAAAATAAATAATTCCACCTGACATCAATTGAACAAAGCGAAAACTGACCATCGACTGGTTATGATATCTGACCATGAATGCAAAGAAGTCGTGTGGAACACCAGAACGAGCTAAAAACTAACCTCACCCACAGAGAAATAAAGAAATAAAAAATAGCAGATTTTGTTAATGTTGATATTGTCATAAAAATATAAAATATAAAACTCTTTTCCAGAATAATTGTTATAGCTATTGTGTGAAAAGTCTTTGCAAATGAAACAGCCATAATGAAACGGAGATAGTAATTGATTTGGGATTGTGGACACTTTAAAAGGAAAAATGAAAGGGATAAAGAATAAATGGAAAGACATTCAAACCAAAATTCACCAATGTAGATTAACAAGTAAGAAAATATAATTTATGCACGCACAATTCTTGTAGTTCAGCCTTCTTTTGATACGCGCAAAGTTGAACAAAACGTTTTTCCGCATTTCACCATTAACTTATGGATCTATTTGTTCATTCAACTGATACAAGTCATGGAGGTCAACCTTGTTTTAATCCGATCAACATTTGATCAAAATGTTTTAATCCCATTTAAAATTTGTTTCTGTTTCTATCAATCCATTCCACGGCTATATGTCTTGTAATCCGGTCTTCTTTTAATCCAGACAACCTTTTTATTCCCTATATATACATATATATATATATATTATTCCCATTTATATATATATATATATATATATATATATATATATATATATATATATATATATATATATATATATTGGGGACCTTGTGCTCCAGGTCTCTGTATTCGGCCCTTCAAAAGTGTGATTGGTTCTGCAAAGCTTCACCACTATAATCCAATCATATGTGCTGGTGTCTAACTGTCGGTTCCTAGAACTGAGCTGCTTGACTCTCATCGAATACGACGTGAGAGTCCACCATATATATATATATATATATATATATATATATATATATATATATATATATATATATATGAGATATATTTCATTGAACAAAGACAAATATTATAGTGTTCATCATTTTCAAAGGCAAAATGTGTTCATCTGAAAGTTATTTTTTTTAATTGTATAGTTAAGAACGCTGATTGACTTGAATACCGCTTATAACTAAGTTATGGTGTTATCGAGAGATTTTAACAAATAATTATTAAAACTATGATTACAAACCTCGATATTTTAAACTATCTAATGTAAACATTTTAAAATATTTCTGCAGTATTTATAATTTTATTAATGTTTGTCACAGTACTTCTCTTGAAATAAACAACACACTGATGATGACATTGTGCTAATGTCGATAGTACTCAGAATAAATAATATATATCAACACAGAAATTTTCTCTCTTTCTTTAATAATGACACAAAAAAGCTTGTCAGCGAATATGAAAGGTTCCTATTGGAAAGTAGACAAACCTTGTATAAATTATTCAATGAAACATGTCTCAATGAAACATGCCGCCATATATACGCAACTTATATATATATATATATATATATATATATATATATATATATATATATATATATATATATATATATGTGTGTGTGTGTGTGTGCGCGTGTGTGTGTGTAAAAAATTCCAAGATATTTTACGCGCAAAATCAAAGAGAAGACAAAGAAATGCTAAAACAAGGAAATTTCTTGTTGGCCAACCAAAGAAGACAAAACATGTTTTATTTTTCTTAACTTGTATATTCTCATAACTCGATTGCCGTGTGTGGAATGTTTTTGTTCACAACCACAGTAAGTCCGATGCCTTATTTAAGCTGAACAAAGAACGGCAATAATTGACAACTAAAAGGAACTGATTCTCGATGAACTAAATTTGAGGATGTAGGGAAATTTTGGTGAATAGATTTTTACCTTTTCGTTTTTTGTCGCTTTCATCACGATCTTCATCTAAATTTTTCTTTCCGACTACAAGAATTACGGCCTCACATTTCTTTTTCCCTTGCATTTTTTCATTTCTTTATTTCGTTTGATGTTTTCTTTTGTTTTTAATCCGCTGTCTTGTTTCCTACTTCGACTTCTAATTTATTCACCCTATCTTTTTCTTATTTTCTTTCTCCGACATTTTACATCACCTTTTACTCTCTCTCTCTCTCCGTTTTCTCTTTCTTTTTGCTTTTTTTACATTAACTTTTTTCTCCTTCCTTCTCCATTTTTCTTTCTTTTTCCTTCTTTTTTCATCATCTTTTTTCATCTTTTTTCTCCCTCCTTCTCCATTTTTCCTCCCTTTTTCCTTCTTTTTTCATCATCTTTTTTCTCCCTCCTTCTCCATTTTCCCTTCCTTTTTTCCTTCTTTTTTCATCATCTTTTTTCATCATCTTTTTTCTCCCTCCTTCTCCATTTTTCCTTCCTTTTTTCCTTCCTTTCACATCATCTTTTTTCTCCCTCTCTCTCCATCATTGGGATTACCTCTCACTTCAGTGGTGGTATGCATCTTCTTAGAATTTCTCGTATCTAGTTCTTTCCAAAATATTTTACCTAAACAATCAAATTACCTCCAATATTTTTCTGATTAATTAATATATCCCCGTGATACAAACTTACCGGATCTTGTAAATAAACTAAACCAAGTCGAACATACAACAGAATTTACATACGAATTGGAAGAAAACAATACTCTACCTTTTTTACATATCATGTTACACAGCAGTCTAAATTGTGTGTCCACTGAGAATCAACTAATAAAAATTACCTAATAACCTTCTATTTCTATCATAGCAACAAAGTACAAACCGTAATGATCATTGAATTCTATTTAAGAGCATTCAGAATGTCAGTCCGCAGTATTTACATGAAGAGGAGATATATATTAAAAATGCATTCAAAATCCTTCAATGACCTATTTCATATTCAATATGAAACAAAAGGCTCATAAAATAATCCAAAATAGAAAAGCTATCCTTCCTGATAAACCCAACAAATCTGAATATATATATATATATATATATATATATATATATATATATATATATATATATATATATGAACATTGAAGTTAACACTCAGAGGCGACAGACTGTTTCATAATTGGGTTTAGCATGAAACAGTCTGTCGCCTCTGAGTGTTGACTTCAATGTTCACATATATATTTACATACGCTCTACCTCTGATACTGAGAACTTTAGCCCATAAATATAGCACATCTTAAAACTATATTTCTTCATATATATATATATATATATATATATATATATATATATATATATGCGTAGTATTTAGTGGAAAATACTCAATATTTATGATATAGATAACATATTCAGTTGTATGGATATTGCTTTGTAAATCTGGGTTTCACGCTTTTGCGATCATCGGACGAATTTGTTTATTTTTTTTTTAAATACTTATAGTAAGCATAGATCCATTTTTAAAAAATAAAACAATTTTTCTGATGATGGCAAAAGCATGAAACCCAGGGTCACAAACTAATATCTATACAACTGAATATATATTTGTGCATGTGTGTCTGTATGTGTGTGTGCGTGTTTCTAAACAGTATCTCACTACAAACTGATACCACAGACAATTTCAAAAATCATGCGAATTTTAAAATTAAAATTCGTAAGTGAAAATGGTCATTAACTAAAGGTATCTTAATTCCATTTGTAAAGAAAGTATATATATATATATATATATATATATATATATATATATATATATATTCTTATATCTGCCGTATATATGTATGCTTTTTGATTAAATATGTATCTTATGCCTATATTAAAAATATGATAAAATAACTCTGCCGAGAAAAGTATTCTTTTATCACTTCCACCGACTTCGAAGCAAAGAGAAAAAGAAACGAAAAGTGAAAGAAAAACTGATAAAAAAAAAAAAAAAAAAAAAAAAAAACTCTGAAGGATGTTTTCAACAAATTCACTGCTCAGTGGACCAGATGCAAGCGGCCGTCATCAATCAACCTGCCATTTTGTTTTTCTTTTCTTTTTTTTCTTCTGCCATAATCTGTTCCTTTTTTCGTATTCGTCTTTATTCTCTCGACGTCTTGTTTTTGCTTTTCTGTTTATCATTCCAATAATATTCTTCTTTTTTTTTCTTTTTTTTCTCTCAACCGACTGTTCACATAATCTACTCTCTGGTACCTTTTCATTTATAATATTAAATGGTCGAAATGCCAAATCTCTCCTCGTTTTGAAGGTAGGGATGCTTTACAGATAGCATTTACCAATGAGCAAAGCAAATAACCGCTCAGCTGGTTTTCCACCCCCACACACACCGCCAAAAAAAAGAACGTCGAAAAATTATTTCATTCTTTTTGTTTTGTTTACATTTATTCTTAACTACAGACAATTCCTTTCTTCCAGACTTGCAAAAAAATTTTTTATGAGGAATTCATTTACAATCCATTGCTAAACTTGAACTCTTCCAAATAGATTTGTTTAATGAAATTAATTAATGATTATCTATTTTATGAAACATTCAAAATAACGTTCCTTTTTTTCTTCTTCTTCTTCTTCTTTTAATCGTATTAGGAGCATTCAGTCTTTCGCTTAAAAAGACAGCATCCATGTGATTGTTGCCATATCAATGTGTTTTTAATCATTCTTTTTGAGAAATGTATCACCGGCGTCTCTTCCTGAGTGAAAACCGACATTCATGCTTTCCTGCCAGCACAGAAATATGAAGTAAAATCACAATCTTCTGCTTGCTTCTCTCCTGCCTGTTCAGCCGCTATAGCCCACAGGAATCATTTCTTCTGGCTGTGCCAGAGCGACAGATCTGATTTTAACAGACGTATCAGTGTCATTACTTGTAATGAGTGCAAGCGTTTATTCCAAACAGTGAAGATATTTGTTGATAGAATGAGACACGGGATAACCTTTTACAAGTTTGGTTCTAGAAATTAATGAAGAGCGTGAGGAACAAAAACAAATCCTCAATTCCTCCAGTCAATTTGAAGTATTGATATCTATTAAGAAGGCAGAGTGATAGATAGCGGCTCGGAATGAGGAATCGGAGAGCCGAGTTCGAATTCCAGTCAGATCCATTACATTCACTTACGTGCTAATGAATCCTCTTCTTCTCCCATCAGCTATAGATAAATAGCAGGACAGACGGGGTTCTATAACCTTGGATAGCAACCTGTCTAGGAAAAGGAAAAACTATGAATTCAAAACTGTCCTGGTCAGGCTATCTTGCCCAAGAAACACCACTTCTACCGTGGCGGCCGTACACATGGGTCACGGGATAAAAAAAAAAAATAGTGCTTTGCACGGAAATTCTCTTCCAGCGCCACTATCGACTTATCTGGAATATATCTGCCCAATTTCTTCCCTGCTATCATTACTGAACTAGATCCCCCATGAGGATTCGATGGTATCCCTGGAGTCTTCCTAAAGCAATATGCTCTTGAACTGGCTCCTGTTCTCTCCGAGCTTTACAATAAATGCCTTGCTGTTTCTAGATTTTAAGCTTGGAGGAAGTTCAAGAGCCCTGTAGGAACCTGCATTAGGATGATATGATCTTATAGATTGCCTGTTCAGCACGATCTTCATCACACGTTTCGTTAGTAACAATAGGATTAAGCACCGTAGCCATTGAGTTTTCAAACAAGCCAACGAGTTTGGGATAACACGAGCCACAGCCTGATCTTCGCCATTCTTATCTAAAGCTTGACAGACAAATTCAGTGATTGCTGCGGTAGACCTGGCGAAACGGAAATATTCTTAACCAATTCGGAGTTGATTAGAGCCTCGAATACTTTGCAAAAAAGAACTAAGAAACAAATAGGGCAATAATCTGAGATTTCAGAGGATTCTTCAGCTTGTAGAAAGTTCTACTCTATAGTTCATGCTTTTAAGAACTTCGGTGAACACAATGAAATCTCAGATTATCGCTCTATTTGTCGCTTACTTCTTTTTTGCAAAGTACTCGAGGCTCTAATCAACGCTGAATTGGTTAAGAATCTTACTTCACACAGCCTCCTTTCAGACAAATAATATGGCTTCCAATTCGCTACGTCTACCACCGATGTGTCATCATTGAATTTGTCTATCAAGCTTTAAACAAGAACAGTGAAGCTCGGGCTGTAACACTAGGCAAGGGCATTCTTTTCCGACCAGTGGACCGCATGAGATATACCTTATCATATGTCTGGCCGCTCTACTAAAAAGATTTACGGTAATGATTCAGTCATTTTTATTATTTGTTTTGTTTTACGGTATATCAACTTCATTGGGTTATTTAATGCCGACAAAATTTTTATTGCTGGCAATATTTTTTTTCAAAAATATTTTTCTGGTAATATTTTTTTTCAAAAAATGTATTGCTGGTAATAATGTATTGCCGGTAATAATTTTTTCTTCAAAAATTCATTACTGGTAATATTTTTTTTACAAAAATGTATTGTTGGTATTAAAACCTATTTTTGCACTTTCATAGTGTTTTGACCCCATTTTTTGCGGGGAGGTCAACTATTTGTGCAAAATGAACTAGTCAGTAAAAATAAAGATGAAGAGAGATTTATTCTACCATGCACTATGCATAAACATTTTACATAAAACTATGTTGCACTATCTGCGTTGTATACAGTGCATATATTTGCATTTTTGTTTGTATTCGTTATTAGTTTCCGATTTTTAAGTAGCATAGTCATTCGTGTCTGCCTTTTGAGATAGATACTGATCTTGTATTTAGTAATTTGTGATTATAGGTGATTATAGCTACTTTTAACTCCAGACAAAGTTTACAGTTTTGGGATTTATTGTATTAGGGTGATGCTACTTACCTTATTTTCCTTGAAATAATTTCTGTATTTTGTTTATTTTATCATTAAGTAAAGTCAATACGTTAAACTAAAGAAAAGACACTACAGGAAAATACTATTATTCATCAACGAAATTGCTTGGCTAAAGAAAGAAGGAAGGTTCGACGTTACAATGGGAAGTTTTAACGGATCGTGCCATGTAAGCTGATTGACATACATATACTATAAGACTAAACAAAATGATCAACAACAATGACATAAACCTCTACAGGGGCGACTCATAATCGGACAGACTCATAATCGTAAGAATCTGTAATAGAGAAAAATAAAACAAAACCAGAAAATAATCCCAAAATTAAAAAGAAATATAAGATTTGACATGAAATATGTAAATTTTCTAGATATCACGCTCGACCTAATAAAAGGTACATATCAACTATATTAAAACATCGATAACAAATCACATACATGTATTTTCCAATCACCCGCCAAGAAAATCAAGCAGATCCCACAATAAATCGAGCTTAGGTTATCTGAGAATTCTCCCTATGAAAACATCTTCAACGAAGAGAAAAAGATCATGAAAACAAACTCTTAAAAATAATGAATTTTCGTTAACACACCACATAGTGCAAAAAAAAGGCAACAGAAAAATAAACATAATGTTGTTTAACCCAGCATACAAGAAAAATATAAAAACGGATGAAAAGTGTTTATTAAACTTATCCACAAACACCTCTGCCCATCAAGCACTGACAAAAAGATATTCAACAAAAACACAGTAAAAATCAGCCAAAGTTGCACCAAGCAAATGACACAAATAATAAAAAGTGTGGGTGTGTGTGGGTGGGTGTATAGGTGTGTATATATATATATATATATATATATATATATATATATATATGTATATATATATATGTGTGTGTGTGTGTGTGTGTGTGTGTGTGTGTGTGTGTGTGTGTGTGTGTAAAAGATTATAATAAAAACATTTTAAATTGCTACAGAAAAGCTTTCATGTTTCAATATTATAATTATACTTCCTCAGGCAATGGTTGGTAATTGGTGATAAAAATGATTTTTTTATCACCAGTTACCAACCATCGCCTAAATAGTACAATTATGATATTGAAACATGAAAGCTTTTCTGTAGCGATTTAAAATGTTTTTATTATAATCTCTTATAATATATATATATATATAAAATTTTTATCAGCTGTTACCAACTTTTACCTGAGGAAGTACAATCACAGTTTTGTAACATGAAAGCGTTTGTGTAGCGATTTAAAATGTTTTTATTATAATTTATATATATATATATATATATATATATATATATATATATATATATATATAATTACGTTATGAAAAACTTGGTAATCCGCATGGGTAGTCCCAAGGAGGATGAAATTCTGAGAGCTCAATGTAAATCCAGAGCTAAGAAAAAACAGACCACTTTAAAAGGTACCATTATAATAATTTATTTCACAGAGCCCTTTTAAAGGACGCCGGATCATCAGATAGCATAAGTGCCTTAAAGTGATCTGTTTTTATTTTATTTATATATATATATATATATATATATATATATATATATATATATATATATATATATATATATTGAAAAAGACAATCATTTACTTCAAAGGGGAATTATCCTGAGCAATTTAGCTATATTATAATGTAGTATGTTATACAATGTCGTAGTTACGTTGTACAGTGTAATTTTCAATAAATAATGCTAATTTTAAACATTTTTGTCTTATAATATTGGGTCCAGCAGCATTATCCTGTCTATTTTTTTTTTCTGTTTTTATTGATTATGAACTAACAAATGATGTAAGATCTTAATCATTGATGAGTCTTTTTGTAATCATTTACACTTTTTACACACTTATCGAGTACAGTAAAAAATTACATATATTGTTTTCGGTGATACATAATTAGAATACTGATTTGAATATATTTTCCATTCAATGTATCTAATACAAAAAAAATAATTTTAATTGGATTAATTCTTGAAATAGTAAAATTTTAAAGTCAGTTTGTAAGCTAAAATCTGCGGAAATTAGGGATTTCTGTACAGTCTTTCAGGTGATCTATAAAACTAAATTCTCAAAAATTGGTATAAGGTATGAATCTAATTTTTGGAGTCAGTATTTATCACATCAAAGCCAATCTGATTTTCTAAGAAAAAATTGAAAAATCAACCTTCTCTACTGTACAAGTTTCTACGTTTTCCTTAAATAAAGCTATCATTGTGAGTTGCTATCATCATAAGTTGCTATTATATCCCTTTGTAGTTGTTTTGGAGTTGAGTTGGTGTCGTTCTTCGGACTGTTGCTGATTCCCAAGATGATTTCTAATATTGATTTTGAGAAGTCTAATATTACAAATATAGATTTTAACAAAAACAAGCAGACCCCCAAACTACTTATAAAATAAGCACAAACCCGCCTGTTACAATGTCTTTCTATTCGATCCCATGTCATACATCATTATATGCCCTTCCCTTTCAAGACGTGGGCGATCATGGCTCTCCTCTACTTCCTGTCCTTTGTAGAGATTACCAATGTTTTCTGTTTGACTCTCCTTCCCACTTCCTGTTATGGCGTCTATTCACAGAGTTTTGTTAGGTAAGTTAATCAAAGTTTTCCTCTGTCTTTCTCTTCCCTATATCCTGTGAGTATCAAATTCTCCAAGCCTTTTTTCTTCATTATGTGTCCTTGAAATTTTAACCGTCTTTTTTGATTCAAAATATAAATGTCCTTTTTGTTTAGATTTTCCTGAAAACTTCCTCATGACTCATATGTTCAGTCCATGAGATTTTCAACATCCTTCTGTAGAACTACATTTCTATTGCCCAAAGTCTGTTCTTTACCTGTGAGGAGATTGCCCACCATTCACTGGCACAGCGAAGAGAAGGACTGGTATTACATAAAAGTTTAGAACTCTTTTATTTCTTTCTAGCGAAAATTTCCCAATGCGACTTCGGATTTCGGTGTCACACTTTCCTTCCTCTATTAAAACACTTGCTAGATATTTACGTTTTTGTACTTGCTTGATTTTAGTCTCTATAATTCTTAGTCTACATCTTGGTTTATTCCTTTTGCTAACATGCTTACGGTGCAATCTCGAAGAAAGCACCTGTTCTCATTCGATCACCGAAGTTAAGCATCGTAGAGCCAGGTCAGTACTTAGATGGGGTTCCGCTTTGGAACACCTGTTACTGTAAACAGACCCATACTACCGGGGTAAACTTCCATTTGGGCACCTCGACGCGGTATAATGGTTACAAAGCTTGTCTTACTAGATCAGTTACCAGTGAGTTCGATCCTCACTGGGTGCCCGATACTTTCAGCTTTGTGCCACGTCTAAGCCGCGCTTAGAAAATCACTATTCCTTTTGCTGACAGCCCGACATTCTGTTTTCATACAATTGATGTTTGTCTATTCTCCTGCTTTTGCTGACTAGCTTCTCTCGAATACCTTGCAGTTTCCTTTCTCCGTCTGCTAGCAAGACAGTGACCGAAATTTAATCTACCCTGATGGTCTTTTTGTAGTTGAAATATCTGAAAATTTTTATCTTTTTGTTGCTTTTCCTGGATTCGCACACTGCTTTTGGCAAAAATAAGCTCTTAGCAATATGAACTATTTAATTATCCTTCGCACACGCTGACCTGGCATCACTTTACACAAGCTTGTTAGGTAGGGTATTTGCTGTTACTCACTGTTCACCTTGCTTTCAATACGCCTTGTGAGTATCAAATTCTCTCAGTCCTCTTTTCTCATGATGTCCTCGAAATTTCGACAGTTTCTTTCCTATTCTAAGCATAACGTTTTTTTGGGGTTTTTTTTTTTTTTTGCTTCCATATTCCTTAAAACTCCCTGCTTATTCACATGTTCAGTCCATGGTATTCTCAGCATCCTTCTGTAGAACGACATTTCTGTTGCCTCGTCTTACGTTTTCATCTATGAAGATATTGCCCAGCATTCACTGCCATAAAGGAGGATAAATATAACATAAGAATTCAGGATCTGGGACCTCCACAACTTCCTCTCCTTTGCATCTCTGATTAACGTTTATCTTTTCACCATTCCTCCTCCTCGCTGATGTTCTGTCATCCATTTAATCATTTCACGTTAGGTAGGTCACTCGCTGTTTCCTTTATCCTCTTTCTTTTCAATATACCCTGGGTGTATCAAATTTTCCAACCCTATTTCCTCATTAGGAGTCCCATAAATTTCATCTGTCTCTTTCTTTGTCGAGCACTTTTCCCTGGTGTCCCGACTACATAAATTTAAGCGTACGACCAGACTGACATATAGGTCCCACTCTTTAACCGTTTAAATAGTTAAATGTAACCGCCACTTCTATTCCAACTGTTTCTTTTCTCGCGCTTCCCGTCTGTGAAATTCCCTTCCGTTTACTTGCTTCACTGATAACTACAATCTTCAAATATTTTAATGTAACGTCAATCGCCATCTTCTGGTTCCTTGAACCCCGTTCATCTTTTATCCGTTCCACATCCCCCCCCACCCAAACACAGTTTTTCTCTCACCCTCATTCTATGTAACCACCTGCGAACCAGTGGTACCCCCGCCTTGCTTGAGGTGAAATGCTTTAAAAAATGATTCAATGACGGGCACTTCGAAGTGGTATTAGGAAAATGTCTCTCTAGATCATTTACTGCTGAGTAGTGAGTTGGATCCTCACTGAGCGCTGCATAATTTCGGCCTTGTGCCACATGCATTGAATATTGTTGCCATATCTGCTCTAGTGTCTCTGCTGTTCACCTCGAGGTTGTCGACAAAATCCAAAGAAGGGTCTGCAATATAAACGGTCCTGACTTGGCATCTCGACTTCAGTCACTTTCTCATAGACGTGATGTGGCTTCCTTTCTGTCTTTTCTACAAATATTTTCATGACAACTGTTCTGGAGAGCTATCTTCCTTGGTACCCTGACTACATGAAATTAAACGCGCTACTAGATTGGCAACTAGGTCCCAAAGATTTTACTGCGGAAATAGTTAAATGCAAAAGCCACTTCTACTCCAACAGTTTCTTTTCTCGCACTTCCCGCCTGTGGAACTCACTTCCTCTTACTTACTTCCCTGATAATTACAATCTTCAAAAATTTAACTAAAACGTCAGTCGCCATCTTCTGTTGCCTTGAGATCCCCATTCCTCTTTTATCCTTTCTTCAATCCCCTCTGTACATTTTTATTAAGCGTTTCGCCCCAAACAAGGCGGGAAATCACTAGGACGCAAGGGGTTACAGAAGATTTGGAGAAAGATCAGATAGGAGTGATAGAGGAAAGGATGAGGAGAAGGATAGTGGATAGATCAAGACAACTGGAGATGTCGATTGACATTACATTTGAATAGTTGGAGATTATAGCTCTCAGGGAAACAGGAAAAGGAGAGGGTGTTCCAAAGGCGAGAGGTGCGAGACATGAAGCTATTGGAGTAGAAGAGACGGCTACATTTAATAGTTTCGACAGTGAAGGGGTGAGAGTGGGATGCCAGCCTCGTAGGGCGTTTGAATTCATGAAGTCTGGGAACCAGCGAATGCAGCTCCACGGAGCAATTGCCATGAAAGTATTTGTAAAAAAGACAGAGAGAGGCGACGGCGCGTCTGTGGGAGATCTACTGTAGACGAGATGCCAGAACAGGGCCAATTATATTGCATATCCGCCTCTGGAGCTTATCAAGAACCCCGAGGCAAACAGAAGGGGCTCCAGACCATATATGGCTGCAATACTCCATGCAGGGACGAATTGTTGATTTGTAGACTTGAAGGATCGATTCCGGGGAGAAAAATTTCCTGGCGCGGCACAGGGAGCCAACTTTCCTTGCGGTGGACGAAGCAATTGACTCAATGTATTTGTTCCATCTACTCCGTTCTTTTCTCATTGTCACTCTCTGTAACCCCATGCGTAATAGTGGCACCCCACCTTGCTTGAGGTAACATGCTTAAAGAAAAAACAAACATCTAAGCTATGCTTAGTAAATACCTTTATGAATAATAGCATGTTTATATCAACAGCGAACCCATCCAATTCCACGCAAACACACCCATGAAACTACCACCTACCTACGTGTTGTTTGTTGACAACTACGGTCCTTGGGCAAGAGAGGTCACCGTCACAGCTGGAACCGTGACTAATACTAGCTCGTCACGCCTTGCTAGTTCTCGCAGATGGGGAGCTGTGTAAGGTGACTTTGTGTTAGCACTGGCACCCGTGTCTGTGTTCGGCTCCCACTGAACTGGTTTTATGGATATTTGTCGAGCATTTATTGCATTGAATTTGAAAGTGGTGTGAACAGATTTTGACGCAGGCAATTTTAATCTGATGCTTTTGTGCACGATCATTAAGGACCCTTCGCTGTCGACGGTAAGCTGCAATGCCTTCCATCAGCCATTTCTGGCATATACGTCGCAATGTAGATCATGAGATGTGTCAAATGTCAAGAAAATTTCAGAATGTCCCATCCGACTAGCATCCATTGGAATTCTGATAATCTCCGTCACGTTTTACTATAAGCATGTTAATCGATGTTCATACTGTCTCACTACATATCAGAGAATACCAGAGACAGTTCTGGCCATTTAAATGACATCAAGGTTAGATAGATAGATAGATAGATAGATAGATAGATAGATCCGAAATAGACTGAGATAGATCCGAAAAGATAGATAGATAGATAGATAGATAGATAGATAGATAGATAGATAGATAGATAGATAGATAGATAGATCCGAAAAGACTGAGATAGATAGATAGATAGATAGATAGATAGATAGATAGAACTAAACAGGTTGAGATAGATAGATAGATAGATAGATAGATAGATAGATAGATAGATAGATCCGAAAAGACTGATAGATAGATAGATAGATAGATAGATAGATAGATAGATAGTACTAAACAGGATGAGATAGATTAAATTTTACATATATATATATATATATATATATATATATATATATCACTTCTCAGATAGATAGATACTTGCAGAATGAGATAGATAGATACGTGCAGAATGAGATAGATAGATAGATAGATAGATAGATAGATAGATAGATAGATCTTTTGTGCAACACGTTTCCGTTCTTCGAAGCGGTTTCATCCATTGAAAATGATGTTCTTATCGATTAAATTTTACATATATATATATATATATATATATATATATATATATATATATCACTTCACAAGGTGGAAACTGTTAACAATTTCCCATTTGTCATCCATACTTGATTATTTTCGTCGTAGACCTTAGTTATAAGCAGAATATGAACAATCGGTCCTATTGATTCTATCTTTGTAGCTGGAAGCTGAAAATGACGCACTGATTGATCGCTTATGAACATACTCAACAACATTCTACTATGGTCCACTGAACCAATTCAGGTTTGCTATTGATTTATGTGAAGCGAACGACCAACTTTGATTCGAGTTATTGTTCGAGGCATAATCATAACTATTTAAAACTATTGATTCGAAAAGAAATCAGTAATTACAGCAAGGAGCATATGTGGGATACAAGGGGATTACCAAGAATAGATATTAGCTTTTATATATTCAATGTAGTGAGGAAAGCTTTTATATATATATCTTTATAAATGTCGACGCGTTCTCGTCCACTTTTGTATCACGTTTTCAGGCAATTCAATTAGTAAATTGACTGCAGAAATAAAAAAAACAAAGAAATGGTTTAAGACAAAATTCGCATCCGCGATCACAGTGGTTTATTTTATGAATGTCATTCGTTTAAATTTAATAAGCCCGGTGAGTATCAAATTTTCCAACCCCCTTTCCTCATTAGGAGTCTCATAAACTTTAGCTCACTCTCTCTTATTCTATATGATTCAATGACGGGACACTTCAACGTGGTGCAATGGTTAGCAAGCTTGTCTTGTTATATTAGTTACTACTGGGTAGTGAGTTCGATTCTCAATGCGTGCTCCATTCTTTCGGCTTTGTGTTGCATCAAAACTACGCTTAGAAAACACCTGTATAATTCAATGACGTACCGATGCAATTCAACGCGAACACCATGAAACTATCCTAACCTGCGTGTTGCTTTGTTGTTAACTATGGTCCATGACCAGGTGAGGTCACCGTCACAGCTGAAACTTCAAGAACAGTGACTAATAGTGGCACGTCACACCTTGCTAATTCTCCCAGGTGTAGAGCTGTGGATAGTGTCTTTAGATTAACACTAGCATCATTGTCGACTCATTCCGGCAACTCATTCTTTGATTAGTGAATTCTTTGCAGAAATTCAAAAGAAGTAATTAGGTTGAGACGAAATTCGCATTAACATTCCTTGGAGATTTCTCTTTTATGCTACCCGTTTAACTTCGAAATTTCTGCCACTTCTCTTTCGACCAAATCAATCGGCAGATGTTTTGAAGAGGGATCTCGTCCATAATAACCAGGAGGGCTCAAGTAAGTGTTTTTTTTCCCTGCTATGATGCCTTCCAAAAACTAAGTAAAATATTAAGAAACAGGAAATTTTTGCTCGAAACGAAGAAAAGAGTTTAGAAATGTTATATAATATCAGTACTCCTGTATGACAGTGGTTGCTGGTCAATCTCCTAACAGATGTAGAAGATATTTGAAGAGTACCGAACTTTTTTTTTGTAATATCGGTCTTCTTATATGACTGTGAATGATAGACAATCTCCTAACAGATGAAGAGGTGACATGAAGCAACAGAAACAAAGAAAAGCCTACTGAAATGTTATTTAATATCAATCCTCCAATATAGCGGTGAATGCTGGAAAATGGACAATCTCCTCACAGATGAGGAAGGGATTTGATGCAATAGAAACAAAGAGTCCCGAACGTTCCTGTAATATCAGTCTTCCCATATCGCAGTGAATGCTGAACAATCTCCTGGCAGTGGAAGAAGAGACTAGAAGCAACAGAAATTTGGTTGTACAAGAGGATGCTGAGTATACAAATACTGAACATGTAAGTAACGAAAAAGTTTTATAAGTGACTAGCAGTCGCCCGGGGATGTAACAGTAAGAGATAGATCAAGTATCGACCATCATAAAGACTGAAAAATAAAATTGACAAAGATTATTGTTTAAGGTTGACGGACATGTCTTGATTAGTTTTATTTTTTGTTTTCTTTTGTTTGTTTTTTTTTTGTTTTTTTTTTTACGAATTGGCCAAACCCAAACTCAAACAAAAACATTGTTTTCAATCGTTATGAGTCTACCGATTGAATAGAATTTTATTATAAACAATTGTCTTGTAAATGGAATTTTTAAAGCATTCTGAATGTAAAAATAAAGAAGAAAGTGTGCAAGAAAATAAGAAACACTACCTGCCAAAAAAAGTGAAGTTTTGTTGAAATCGGTTGAAAAATGTAGGAAATCCGATCCCATATATAAACGAACACACACACACACAAACAAACAAACAACCTGGGTTTTATAATAAGTATAACTCGATATGAGTTGTCCCCCTTTCATTCTGTGCAAAAACAGTTGTGTTTTTCCAATTTTTGGCGCTGTCAGAACCACTGCAAGGTAATTTTACGTAGTCCTGTGAAGTTTTGTTGAAATCGGTTGAAAAATGTAGGAAATCCGATCCAATATATAAACGAACAGACACACACACACACACACCCAAACACACACACACACGACCTGGGTTTTATAATAAGTATGATGGAAGGAAACAAAACACTTTTTATATACAATCAGAAAGGAAACTCAACTGAGAAAAGGAAAGCAGTGGTTAATGGAGGGCCAAGCTCCGTACAGTCAAATTCACATATTTGAGAGTCACATAAAAGAAACAACACTGAAATAGGTTTTTAATTACTCCGTCTGCATGATGCGATGAGTAAATTGTCGCCTAAATATAAAATTGCGACAATTTAACCATCGAACATTTTATTATTTAACACGTCGCTGCTGCCTTGAATATTTGAATCGTTACATCACGCTCTATCTATTTCTTTTAGCGTTACCAACAGAAATTGTTCCCTTTTGGTAAATTCATACATCTATAAAGAGTAACACTGATGTGTATCCTCGACTTTGGCTTTCCTTTTCTTGCTAGGTCACCATATGATGTATTTATGATTTGACGTGTTTCAATGGTTGAATGAATTCATTTTGCTAATGTTTGAATACCACCAGGGCCGGGTTTACATGAAAGTATGTCTTGGGCTCACAAAGACTCACAAAATCCCGCAGTCTCACAAATTAGAGGAAAGAGTGTTCAATTAAACAATCTGAGTAAAGCCGAGGATGATGACGGATGTTTAAAATTACTAAAGGATTGTTTAGAGTGTCGGAGTTACCTCCTCCTTCTATCCTTGAACCGGCAGAGGAACAGGTCATTTCGACCTTGACCTCTCATTCATGCTCCTTACACACTATTAACACGTCGGAGGGACTAGCAAATCCCCTTTTTAGTTATATTACAAACATAGTTGTAATATACTACTAGTCATTTTTAGACCTTAGTTCTCTTTAGCTAACCTCGTAGTATTTTATTATAGAGACTTTTCGGTTAGCTTAGCCAATTTCTCTTGCTGGTCTCCCTTGTCACAAGACAGTGATTTCTCGCTAGATTCTGGGAGGCGGTCGGCGACCGAAACGGTCCGCTACGCAGGCCCCTTGGCCTTCATTGGCCAAGGACGCCGATCAACGGGCTGTGACAACATGTGTAAGAAAGGCTTATGACAGCATGTGTAAGAAAGGCTTATGACAGTGTCAAAAATATTATATAATTTATCTGCAGGCCTCCTAGCATTTAAGCCCCCATCCTTCAGCCTGCTAAGCCTATAAATAAACCCGACATTAGATCCCTCTGATTAGTCTATCTCAAAACCATGCAACAAAATAATCATGTTATCTATTCAATTCGGCAAAGTAGTAATGATGGTCGTAATGGAATGGACCATTTATATTTTCTGAGCGTACATGCGCAATGCACACACTGCCACAAAATGCACATGTAAGTCATGTCGTAATAAACGTGAAAAAGCGTCTGTCTTTTATTTTCAGCATCTGGAAGATTTCTTCATTTTCACCTCAATTTTTTTTTAAATTAGCCATTCAGTATTTTATTTTTTTTTTTTTGATACGTTGAGCGATTAAAATGATAAAGATATTGATTATTGTAGTCATAGGTCGTTTACAAGTTTGATTTTTGCTTAAACCAGTGATTGTTAACTGTTTCTTTTATAACTCCCAATTTCAAATATTTCAATGATAATATTGCGCCGGAGAGTGAATGTCTTCGGTTTATATTTTGAAGCGCCAATTTTTGCCATATAGACATTACGTAATTACAGTTAATTACAGTTGTAAATATCTTTAGAGATATCTATCTATCTATCTATATATATATATATATATATATATATATATATATATATATATATCATATCATATATATATATCATATATATATATATATAAATATATATAAATCATATGTGATATATATATATATATGTGTGTGTGTGTATCATATGAATCATGCATCGGATTGCTAAGGCTATCAGTGCTTTCGGCAAACTTCGCCATCGCTTGTGGAATGAGCGGGGTATTCGACTGGATACGGAAATTCGGGTTTACAGAGCTGTTGTACTTGCCATCCTTTTGTACAGCTCAGAGTCATGGACTCCATACAAATACCATATATGCCAGCTGGATGTTTTCCAAAAAAGCCGTCTGCGTGCAATCTATGGAGTTAAGCTTCAAGATAGGACATCTAACGTAGACCTGTTTAACAGGTGTAATATTGGAAGAATCGAGACTTTTCTCATACAATCTCAGTTACGATGGACTGGTCATGTCTTGAGAATGTCTGATGACAGGATACCCAGGATCCTAATGTACAGCCAGTTAGATCAGGGCTACAGGAATGTAGGACGCCCATGGCTAAGAGACAGAGACAAGCTGAAAAGCAACTTGTCAGCATTCAATATACCAAATATCACCTTTGAGCGCTTGAGCGGGTAGAATGAAGATCAACGTGTTTTAGTGGACTCAGCAGTTTTCAGTCTACTTGTCTGAATCGTCTTCAAGAAGCGAGAACAAGATCTAAAAGGTCAGCCAATCTAACAGTGATCTCATCTCACAATCCTCACTCTTGCTCCATATGTGGCCTCCTTTGTAAATCACTAGCGGGTCTTAAGTGCCACTTAAGATTATCGCACAAAATTTCATAACTCAATCAATTAAGCTGTCAGATATTCATACGTCGAAACCAACGGGAAAGTCCAATATCACACACACATACACACACACACACACACACAGATTGGCAAAAACTGCATGACAAAGTGGAAAAGGTTTTCTTCGTCCTTTAGGACTTAATCGGAATAAATCTATTATGTTGGTGCGACTACACATGCGCACGAAGGAGGGATGCTGGGATTTTAAATTTATTTTTTCCCCAATATTTTTCCTGATATATAAAAGTATATATCGTTATCTCATATATGTGTGTGTGTGTGTGTGTGCGCGCGTGTGTGTGTGAGTTAATAGGGGAAAATGTCGGGCTGTCATTTAAAATTCGGTTTTATTAAACCAGTTGTAGCCGATGATAAGAGGTGAGTAATTTACAATGTAAAGTGCAAGAGAACATGTGACAAGACAAATGAATGATCTTTAATCCTATAAACAACCTTTCTTCATCGAAAGAAGCTGACAACTCTGTATATGTGGAGCTAGAAGGAAATGCTATGAAAAATAAATTAAAAAACGCGAGGTTACAAAAATACCTGTTTGTCCAAAAAGTCATTTTTTTTTCTCTCTCTAGGCAATATGAGCATTTAGTCTTAACTAATTTCTTTTTTAAAAAAAACTACCTTTGAGTGAATTGTTATAGTGCGCTAGTGTTTATTGATCCTAGCATATCGTGCTGATGTTAATTTGTATCTTCCAAATACTTGTGAAAATCTTTCGAAATTCTGAAATTAATAATCAATGCATTCAAGTACTTTCAAAATATAGATAACCAAATTCATTGTTTTTGGTTCTCTGCACTTCTTGGAACTTTATTTTTCAATTTACAAAAAGATCATTTTTGCTCATAATCTCAGACACATCTCTAATATACACTTCAGACAACTGACAAAAATTACCCTAATGTCTTTACAACATGGATGATTTTAAGAAGTGTTTAATGCTGAAAGATTTGTTTTCTCATCTTAACAAAGCTTTATCAAATGATGCAATTATTTAACCCATATCAAGCAAATACTCGATTTTTTTAATTATCTCCTTGAGAAACAGCCAATAAACAGGTGACAGGTAACCTAGAATTTCCCTTACAAACAAGCCAGGTCAAACTTAGACATTTTTTATTAAACGTTAAATGTTCAGCCTGAAAACCGCTAGTACTTACAACGCTTGCTACAAGATTACAATACATACATACGACCATGAGACCCGGGTTCGAATCTCACCATAGTCAAATATTAGAAAGGTGACTCTTGATGTTATCGGCCTGAGGAGGTGGTCCCTGGGTGCGGAACTTTTGGAAGATGGCTTAAAAATGTACCACGTGTTGACCCAAGCCTTGTGAATTAAATTAGATAGATGGAGCCGTTCAGAAGCCGTCGATGGTTATGCTAGCAGGAAGTCACAAGTCGCCATGACTGAGGGTGTGAGAGTACCGGTGTTATTCAAACTACTAATAATGACAGAAACTGTAACTAAGGTCTGCTCAGCAATCGCAGTATAAACCACAGATTAGCTCTGTTAATGTTCAGCAAAGACAGATATACCTGAACAGGTGTCTTCAACAGAGATTGGCTAACTACCTTAGAAGAAGGGGAGAGTAGGTGGTTGTTTACACACACACACACACACACACACACACACACACACACATATATATATATATATATATATGTACGACATAAGTAATACATGTTTTAATTTGATATTAAAATCATACTTATTATAAAACCCAGGTTGTGTGTATGTGTCTGTTTATTGGATCGGATTTCCTACATTTTTCAACCGATTTCAGCAAAACTTCACAGGACTACATAAAATTACCCGGTGGTGGTTTTGACAGCGCCAAAAATTGGAAAAAACACAATTGTTTTAGCACGAAATCAATTTGAAAACACAATTAAAACGCATCGCTATCGCGAGAATGAAAGGGGAACAACTCATAGCGAGTTTTACTTATTATAAAACCCAGGTTTTTTGCATGTGTGTGTGTGTTCGTTTATATATGGGATCGGATTTCCTACATTTTTCAACCGATTTCAACAAAACTTCACATTTTTTTTTTGGCAGGTAGTGTTTCTTATTGTCTTGCACACTTTTTTCTTTATTTTTACGTTCAGAATGCTTTAAAAATTCCATTTACAAGACAATTGTTTATAATAAAATTCTATTCAATCGCTAGACTCATAACGATTGAAAACAATGTTTTTGTTTGAGTTTGGGTTTGACCAATTCGTAAAAAAACAAAACAAAAACTAATTAAGACATGCGTGTCCGTCAACCTTAAACAATAATCTTTGTCAATTTTATTTTTCAGTCTTTATGATGATCGATACTTGATCTATCTCTTACTGTTATATCCCCGGGCAACGCCGGACTCTACTGCTAGTTATTAATAAAATTAGTTACCTATATAACGCTAAAAGTCAGTGATTGCGTGCGTGCGTGCTTATGTGATACGTTCGTCCGGCCCATAATGATTTACAGGTACTTCATACAGTAAGTACTTTTCTTTTAACTTTCTTCAAGCAAGCAATTTTTTTAATTAAATTATTTTTAAGTTAAAGACAGACACAAAAAGATCCCGCTTTGCTGTTTCATCCAGTTGTTTGTAGAGTAATTATCCATATTTCAGCTTTCTTTAAACAAACAATATTTGAAATATTTAAAAAAAAATATTTTCAAGTGAATATGATTTTAGAATATTTGTTGGTATATTAAGAAAATATTTTTAAGTTAATCTAATTTAAAGTTCAATTTTATTCCGGAAGTTTTATTATTATTAAATGCTGTAAACAACCAATAAAACGTCAAAGATGAAACTTGTAAACCAGTCCAATGCTGGCACGAACAACAAATTGAATTATTTAATCATAATAAAATTAACTTTCATTTCAATGGTATGTTAAAATCAACTTAATTGTCTTATAACCTGAACCGTCAGTGACTCAACGGGTGACGGGTAATCAAGTAGACCATCAAATGTCTGGAGCCGCTGAAAAATATAAAAGGGGGAAACGGAAAAATGTAATAATAATAACAGAAAAATTGTAATATGAGCACTGGTCAAAAATTGTTACCTCTTTTAACTTTAACTCATTGACACTGGAGAACAGTTGCCATCTGAGTGCCACCTATGAAAGATCTTATCCGTGTTTTATTAGGTATATAAGTCGGTTAGATCCGGTGACTACAAACCAAACAGCAGGGTGAGTGTTGAATTAAGGGACGTAACTAGAAGAGGCAATGCACCTGGTACTAGAACAATCTAAAGGGTTGGAACAGGAATCCGAATAATGTAAATAATGCAAGTAATCATAATACCTCATCTCAGAGATATAGACAGCCATTATATCACTAGAAACTAGTCACTGGATCTAACCAACGTCTTTATCCACTGGGCCATGTGTCCTTGTGAATATGGCAATCAAGATGAGGATAACAGTCGGAATAATGCAAGTAATCATAATACCTCATCTCAGAGATTTAGACAGCCATTATATCACTATAAACTAGTCACTGGATCTAACCAACGTCTTTATCCACTGGGCCATGTGTCCTTGTGAATATGGCAATCAAGATGAGGATAACAGTCCGAATAATGTAAATAATACAAGTAATCATAATACCTCATCTCAGAGATATAGACAGCCATTATATCACTAGAAGCTAATCACTGGATTTAAACGTCTTTATTCATTGGGCTATGTGTCCTTGTGAATATGGCAATGAAGATGAGGATAACAGTCCGAATAACGTAAATAATGCAAGTAATCATAATACATCAGCGATATAGACAGATATTTAGAAACTAAAATTAGTGACAGGTCAGCTGATACTATAAACTATGTCCGACATTAGAGTTGATAGAAAAATATTTTTCGAGACTTTGAGAAAGACTTCAAAAGAGTCAAGGCAGAAACTACAATCTATTTGTTACTTAAATGTGTGTGAAAAAAAATTGGTTTCTCATATGCTGACAAAATCCATGAAGGATCAGAGCGTTATTTCTGCATAAGTGCTTCTGAAGTTGCACAACAAAGATACCACCTTCCACAGTGTTATACTAGAACATACCTCTTCTATGATTAATAGACTCTCCTAGATATCATAAGTAGTAGTATTAGCAGTCGCCAGGGGGCTCAGAGTGAGTTGGTGAGTCAGTCGATGTCGGACATTAAAGTATCAACCACCACAACTAGATTGCTGCGTCATTAACTATTATAACAAGGTCCTAACGTTTTGTACGTCGAAGCATTTTTAGGACCGACTTAGTGAAATACAAGCCTCCACTGTGAAAACTACTCTACAACACACAGGCACTCAGAAAGCAACGGGTCTCCAACGTCAATAAGTTTAAAGAAGCAACTCTTCCATATCTATAGGCGATTCTTTCTAGAGAAATGGTTAGCGAGAAACGGTAATTAATATTGAGTGCTTACTTTGATCCTCACTAAATGCTCCATACTCGTTGCCTTGTGCCAGTACTAACCTACACTTAATAAGAAGAAGTCGCACGTGTATTCATGCACTCATTCAAAAGTGAAATACAAAGACTGAGAAGGATGGAGACTATGCAGGCCTGACGCCAATTGGGGGGGGCGGTCGAGGAGCTGTCCAAAATAAAATAATTAGCCACCACTCCTGTAAAAATGATGAGAGAATTGCTTTATCATTAGAGATTAGAGATAAGAGAACTATTTTATCATTCTAACTTTAATGGATTTAAACGTTAAGTTTTAGGCACAATAAAAAAAAATGTGGCTTCGTTTAGAGCCTCAGCTGAAACGATTTATTTTATGTGAATTTCTGTAGTTAAATATACAGATCGGAGACTGAATCGGCTAAGAAGGTTCCAGCAAAAGTAAAAAAGTCATAAAGAAAGAAGTTTAAAATATTCCGAGACACGAATTCGTCAATAATATAAGACGAGAGAGAGAGAGAGAGAGAGAGAGAGGAGAGAGAGAGAATGGATGAAAGCAGGCTCGATGCCAAGGGGTGGGGCTAGAGAGGCAATCCCACAACCCCTCTCCCCACCAAACACAAACAAAACAAAAACAGTTACCCCCAAGTGAGAAAATGAAGTGAACTAAATTTAGTGTAGAGTATAAATAATTCATCGGACACATCTTCAGCGCTTAATACTATTTTTATTTCCATCGTCCATATTGTTCAAGAAAAAATGAATTCATTATAAATCAACAGAGAAGAAATTTTTTTTTTTTTCAATTCTGGGAAACAATCACTGTTCCACCAAACTGAGCATTAGGATTCATATAAATCTATTAACAGATAACACTTTTACCCTGTATCCCCTCACCTCCGCACTTACAAGGTCACTCCTGGTCTCAATGCATTCTGCCAACCAATCTAGGACGGATGAGGATAAAATTTGACATCCTGAGACGCTTGTTATAATTCGGGTTAATTTTTCGCGATCAAATCTGTGTTATAAAGCAAATCAGGCAGTACTTTCTAACCGACTCTCATGTGTGTAAGTCAAAAAAATAGACGCACCCAAAGTTTTTTAAGTGAGTAATAGAATTCGCTTATTAATACAGGGTATTAAACAGGTGCACATATTTACATTACACAAGTAAAAAAAAAATGATTTAGCATTTTGTGGGATAATCATTTACTTTAATAACCGCCTTGATTTTTCGTGGCATGTTGCAGATTAAATTCTTTATTAAGTTAACGTCCTTCGCCAGATTTTTTGAGCATTTCTTTAAATCGCGAAAAAGTTTATTTTCTGCATTAACTTTCTTATTACGAGGACGCTTGTCGTTATCACCCACAGGTTTTCAATTGAGTTAAGGTCAGGACTCTGACTAGGCCACTGGAAGAGTTGGGTGGCAACTAGTCTGAGAAGGACAATTCTGAATTCAAAACCTGACCCTCCAGATTGGGGGTTGTGCAGTAGGCTAGCAACCTACACACTTAAAAACTGGCTTGTGATGGAAACAACAACATCCTGCGGCTCAAGGAATTTAAAGGCATAATATATAATTAAAAATATTTTTTCCTCGTCGGTAGCACCAGCCTGAGTTTCATACATAATGAAATTGTTAGGTGCAATACAATCAGTATCTGACGATTGCATTGTCCAATGAGAAAAAATATGTAACTATTATTAATATAAATATTAGCTTTGTTATTATATATCGTGTACTATTCCTGTAAGTCGCCCAGGTTTATTAGGAGATGTGTGATGTTATGGAGTCATCACCTCTAGAATGGTTACCAATCAAATCTATAAAACTCAGTCTGCACTGATATTTAACCCATAGCTTGAGGGGAGAAGAGGTTGATTCATAATTTACCAAAGGTATTTGCGCGTAAATGAACTGAACAAGCAGGTCAGGAATTCGAAAACGGCTCTCAGATTTCTCATCCTGTACAGCACCACACACACAAACACAGGCTCAAACACGCTTATGCATACACATATACACACGCACGTGCTCACGCAAAGAGTTGCATGCAAATTATATATATATATATATATATATATAGTTTTTATTATAAGAGATTATAATAAAACATGTTGAAATCACTATACAAAAGATTCCATGTTTCAATACTATGATTGTACATCTTCAGGCAATGGTAAGTAATTTAATCACCAGTTACCATCGACTGAAAAAGTACAAGCTTTTTTGTAGAGATTTCAAAATGTTTTTATTATAAACTCTTATAATAAAAATAATAATAATGTATTGCTTTACTTTGTATTGAGCACTTTTTAAAAGTAAATGCTACGAACAGTGGAAGTTTACTCCATGTTCTTTCTCTCATTTGTGTATATATATATATATATATATATATATATATATATATGGTAACATAGAGCATGGGAGATTCCTGACTTTCAGAATTCCCGCCTTGGTCATTTTGACAGTTTTATAGGTTACTGGGAATGGGATGTGTGTGTTAAGTATATGTTATCTTTTAATTTTTAGGAGTGTGTGTGATATGGGCATGTGTATATATTTGTGGGAGTGTGTGTATAAGTGTGATACCTCAACACCTCTGCAGCCATGTCTATCTTTTGTGGGTGAGAAATGTGGTTAGGGCTTGATTTATGGGGTTATATGTTGTTAAATTTTTGGTTAAGCCCATCTGGACAAAGTGCTTTATAACGCAAAATACACTTGTTTTCATATTCCTCTAGTATTTTTGTAAGGTTATCTTTACTGTCTATTTCTATTTTTTTTCAATTATAGCGAATTTTGCATGGCTTTTAAAATCATTATTTTCTCGGCGGAAATATTGTTCTACAGGTAGTAATCTTTCGTGGAGAGCCGACTTGTTCCGATTCCAATAATTACTAATTCTGTAGTGAAAGGGCCATTCAGATTTTCCCACATATTGTTTCTGGCATAATAGGTAAATTGTGTTATGACTTCTACAGTTATATATATATATATATATATATATATATACAATTGACAATTGAGAGTTGAACATGTGTTCGGTTGATGGCACGTTTTAATTCAATAGT